GGGGGGAGCCTGTTTGCCAGCCCCGGCCCGTACCCACCACCGTTCAGCTGCGGCGGGGTAGCAGGCGGCTGTGAGATCAGACTGAGGGACAAGGCACGGGCCGAGCCGCGGGACGGGCGGCACAGCTGGCACGAGGAGGCTGGCGCCGAGAAGCAGTTCAAGCGGAGAAGCTGCCAGATGGAGTTTGAGGAGACCATGTCCGAGGGCAGGGCCCGGGAAGAGCTGGGCAAAATCGGCAAACAGTCCAGCTTTTCGGGCAGCATGGAGATCATCGAGGTGTCCTGACACCCCCCCGGGGTGCCTGGAGAGCAGGGATGGGGACGGGGTGGGGGGATATTTAAGCTGGGGGGAGAGGTGAAGGGGGGCGGCGGGGTTGGGGGAGTAGTATTTATACCCACGCGTGCATTTTCGGGAGCGCACGTGCTGAAACCGAAGCGAAGGCGGATGAGTCTTTCCAGAGTCGGGAAACATAACGGCGGATGCTTAGTGTCCCTCCTGCACCCATCCTGGTCCTTCCCCCCCATCCCCAGGGGGTCCCAGCCCTCAGAGACCCATGCTCGAAATTTGGGCATAAAATTCGAGTGGGAAGGGGCAGGGGTCACAATTTTGGCTGTGGAGATGGGGCACAGTGCCTGTGGGGGGACCACGGCCGCCCCCTTCCCTGCACCCTGGTGCACTAAGCATGCTCCCCTATGTTTCTCTGGCTAAGTATCCTAAAAATGCTGCACTGGAGCAGCCCTATACATATATAAATATATATTATATATAATATAAAGAAAAAAAAACGAAAACACACACACAAAGGAAAAGGTAAATGGTTTTACTGCAATTTTTATTGAGACGTAAATAATATTTCAATTTTTTTGTTTTGTTTTTAATTTATTGAAGCTGTTCATTCTGGCAATGATTTGCAGACAATGTGGGGCGGTACTTTCAGCTCTATTTTTACTGTGTATGGTATTTAAATCTGAAATACGAGTTTCTAAGCAATATCTGAGGCCTGTGGCTCCTTCTATAGTTCATGTTGACAACAAAGATTTTCCCCCCTTCCCTCCGGGCACAGCAACAAGGGGACAGAAGACTCTTCTGGGCACTTTTTCTAGAAATGAACAAGTGAACGAGCAAACCATAAAACTTTCTTATAACACAAACTGAGCCAGAAAACTCTCTTCTGGAAGCTGCTGCCGCTTCTTCACCCCTTGGTCTCTGTTTGCTTCTCCTCATCCCCATCCCGGCTGTCATCCCCATCCTAGCCATCATCCCATCCCAGCCATCGTCCCCATCCTGGCTGTCACCCCACCCCAGCTGTGCGCCCCTCCCCTGGGCCGCCTGTCCTCCCTGGAGAGGGCGAGGAGGCAGTCACCCGAAGTGGAGGGAAGGGTGCCGGGTGTCGGTGCCGGGTGTGCAGGAAAGGGGAAGGCATCAGAGGCTGCCGCAGCGGAGGCAGGGAGGGGACGCTGGCAGTAGTTGGGATTTGTTATCGGGGGGTGTCTTACCTGCCTGCCCCAACCCTTCGGCTCCCCCTCCCCTCAGCCACCTTGCTTGGGAGGTATGGGCACCGTTTTCCCCTTGGGGATGGTGGTTTTTCAGGCTTCCCCATCCTTAGCTTCACATCCGAGAAACTCGTGGGGAGCATGTTTGCAGGTGCTGGGACTCCTCCGGCCCTGTTCCCCTCCGGGCCAGCTCCCCTCTTTCCAGTGGGTGATAAGCCAGCTGGACATGAAGCTCTGCAAGCACATGGGGGGCACTGCCAACCTATTTTCAGAGGTGTTCGGCTGCTTCCCCCCATCCTGGTGGGGAGCCAAGCTCTTGCCCCTGAACCCTAACATGAGGCTTGCTGAGAAGCTGCTTTCTGGAGCTGCAGGCACTGAACTGCCTCTGCTGCAAAGCACATCTCTCCCTGCGGCTGTCTTTGCTTTCTCCCTCGTCTTGCGCTAGTTTGCAAAGCTAATACCTCAGGGGTCTCTGTTCGTGCATGTCTGTGTCCTGTGTCATCCTTGGAGTGCTGTTTTTTTCTTTTCTGGGTCTACACAGTTTCTCTCCCTTTCCCTTGTTCCTCCTCTTGTTGTTCGTTTCTATCTTTAAATCAAACAACACGTGACAAAACCAAATGATCTCAGGTTTAAAACTGAACACAAAGCAGAGGCGTGAGGAGCTGCAATCATGCGAGGAGGGGCTGCTCGCTTCAGCTGGTTGCTTTCCCAACCACCTCTGTGTCTGCAGTCAAGGTGAGTCTCCCTGGAGGCTCCTTGCTCTCTTCAGGCTGGCTTTAGTTTTTCTGGTTTTCCATGGGGCCATTTGGTGAGATGCTGGGGACCCCCACGTGCTCCTGCCTGGTTTCCTGAGGTGTGACAGGGAGGGACAGGGGTGGCTGGAGAGCTAGGGATTACCTGCCTCTCTTCCCACATGACTTTTGATGAGGGCGAGAGATCTCATAGTCATCCCTCAAAAGCCCACTGCCACCCATCATTGCCTCCAGTAACCACCTCAAACCAGCTCAGTGGTGCCAACCTGAAACATTTCTCCCTTCTGGCCATGAAAGGATGATGACGCTATTTTCTAAGCTCCCTTTTTAGATTCCAGTAAGCATTTGGGTCCATTCCGTGAGCCAGGCAGCTATTCAGGAGCTGCACTCACAGCAGGGTCTTCTAAGCGGGCATCGATGTAAAGTCCAAGGAGGGAGGGAAAAAGGCTTCATCCTCCCTCCGGTAAGCCCCCCGAGCCCAGGGTTAGTGTCGCCTGCAGCGTTGCTGGTCCCGTGTCCCTTCCTGCTGCCCTCAGCGGTGGCATCTCTTCCCAAGCATGCCAGGGGTCATCGGCTGCTGATCTCCGCTCTGTATCGCTCAGTTCCTGCCCATCCCATAGTACTCCAGGGTTGGTACCAGCACAGATCAACTGAGCTCAGGTCAGGCAAGTTGCTGGTTAGGTGTAGCTTTGGGCAATGCAGAGGGGGCTAGATGACCTCCAAAGAGATTTAATAAAAAGAGGACAACAGGTCAGCATAGCCAGGTGGGGAGATGAGATCAGGTGCTAGGGAGCTCATCCCATAACTGACATCCCGTTAGCTGACACGGTGTATTACGAGCACAAAAAAGCAGCTGAAGTCAGGAAGGAGAGGGTGTGTATTGTAAATGAGACTCTGAATGTCTGCAAAGAAGCAGATATATGTGGTTTGCTTTTTCTCATCTCCACTCTGTCATCCCCTGGATGCTCCTCAGCCATGTTTGAGGCTTTAGGCACTGTGGACTCCTCTCTCCTCTGAAACCAGAGCAAAGAGAAGTAGATTTTAAGATTAGTAGATCATAACTGCCAAGAGACATTCATGACCCACCTCTGCAGCCTTATTTTGATGTACTTTGCATTCATCCTTCCCCTTTATGTTGGGCATGTGCACTAGAAGCCCTCTCATGCAATATTCTAAGGCTACATCCAGAAAGTCTGCCTTGATGGAGCAGTGCTGCCTGAGTGTCTCCTGCCAGCGCTGACCCAAAGCCATCAGCGTCACCGAGTGGCTTGCAATTAACTTAAGTGATTTTTTAAAATCAGACTCTGTCTAATAGACCACTTTGTCCATGAATCAGAGAGCTGTGAGTTATCACGAGGATGGATGTGCCAGCTGGTAGCCCTCCCCGTCATCTGTCAGCCAAGTCTTTTTATGGGCTCACAGACAGACGACCCAACCCAAAGCCTCACTGGAACCAAAAATCATGCTTCCATGCTGATCTGATGATGATACGTTTATTCGTAGGGACCCACAGTGGCCAAGTGTGAGCAGAGGAGAGGAAAGGTCTCCCCTTTCAAGGGAGGAACCAACAAAGCTGTTGAGTGCCTGACAGTCGTGGCAGCAGCAGTGGCTGAGCTTTCTGCCACACGAAGGACAGAGCAAACCACAGCTTTCCTTCAGGCTAGAAGGGACATTGCACCCTTCCCTCCAGCCCATGCCTGTCCCCAGGGCTGACCCCCCCGGTCACCTCCTTCTGGCTGCCTTTCAGGGGGACTGAGCGAAGGCGGCAGGAGGGCAGTGATCAGGTCGGCAACACTGAGCCAGAGGCTTGGGTCGGAGCAGGCTCGTCCCCAGCCTCTGCAGCAGCGTCCCCAGCCCCTGCTGCCTTCTCGGCCCTCCTCTTTGTCTGCTTGTTTCTTTGGATGTTCATCCCCATTACATCTGCCCCTTAGGAGACGATGCCCCCTAGAAACCCCTCCTGCTGTCCCCTTCCCTCTCCCATCCTTAATACTAATGATAATAAGCTATCAGTGTTGTCATTGCAATCTATGAATGATAGATTTGAGTATTTATGATTATTATTATGATTATTATGGTTATGGTTCTGTACTTTTTTCTTCTTACTCTTTGTATGTTGCTCTTTGTTTCCCTGTTGTGAATAAACTCAAGGCCCCATCACACCTTCTCTCTGCTCCCCACAGCCTGGCTGGGGCTGTGCTCAGCACAGCTCACAGCTCTCCCAAGCCCCAGGAGGCAAACCCAGGCTGGCAAACCCTTGTCAGAGGAGCCGGAGGGTGGTGCTTCCTAAGGGTATAAAGGCACCCAAACCCAGGGCAGATCCATTCTCTTAACTCTTCCCTTCCCTTCCTGTGGCTCCTCTCCCCGGTACAGGTGCCTGCTCACGTTTGCAAGATGCAGGAACCCACTGGCACCAAGAACAGAGGATTAAATGGCAAAAGCTTAAAGCTTTTGTAACAGCTTTAAGGAGCGTTGGCCAAGCATGCAGCTCACGGAGTCAGCTCCCTCCAGGTTGTGGTCCTCTCACCTTCTTCTGCTGCAGCGTCATCCACAGGGGCTTCTTGCTCTGCCATTGCAGCTGGTTTGCAAAGCTCGCCCTGCTCAGTTGAGCCCATGCATTGGCACCCTGTGTTAGCCATGTGCCCTGGACTTTCTTGTCTTGAGTGTCCTTCCTCATGCCAGTGAGCTCTCCCTGCCCGGGGACAGCACAGCCTGGGGAGGACACGTGGCCGGTGTTAGAGCAAGCTCAGCAGCAGAGAAGCAAGGAGAGATGTGAGTGCCCTGCAGTACCTGGAGGGATTCAGAAAGGGGCTGTGAATGGCTCCCAACATGGGACTGGATACGGCCTTTCTCCAGCACTGATAAATTGGGGTGCCATAAGCGAACAGAGTCCGGTGCTCATTTTTCACACCCATCGCCTGGGCAGCTTGTACAACCTGGAGGTTTCCAGATGGCTGTAAGGTGAAGGAGGAGACATTAGGGGAAGGGAAGAGGAACCCTGCCTGCATCATGGTACGAAACACTCTGTACCACGCCAGCCCCA